AAAATAATATTTTTGGAAATAAATCGTTTTCATAAATTAAAAATTATTCATTAAAATTTTAAGCCTAGTTTGAGCAATATAATAATTGAAAATATTCATAAGAAAATTTAGGACATAATTTAGATTTGCAAATTCTAAGCGATAAGAAATACAAATAATTTTTTGCTATCTAAAAACCATACCAATAAACTTAGAGTTTGTTGTTAATATTGATGTTTAATAATAGAGATTGGAAGTTCATGATATCATTTTGATTATTTTTATTAATACTCTTTGAATAATTTTGATCAAGCAACAATCAATTTTGATATAGACCTTTAAATATTCTGTAGAACGCGATTCTAACAGCAAATAAAATAGTGATCATTTTTTTTTAGGTAATTATTAATGACCAATTCTCATTTTTCTTTTTGAAAATTGTTGACTTAAATTAGGTGAATAGAAGCAAAATTATATTGTTTAGAAATTAATTATTCAATAGATTCCTCTTCAAAAAGGCCTTTATAGTTCCTTTAATACGATTGGTTTTTGTTTTATCAAATTTTATTTGAAGACGATCAAAAAACAGAAATTTTACCAATAAAAAATCTATTAGTTTTTAAATATAATATCATGTTCAAAAGGGCTATTTAAAAGAGCTCTAGACAATGTCGTCGACAATTAGCACATCGCTGGATAGTAATCAACAAATGTGCAGATGATAAAATTCTTGAAAGTTCTTCTTGGGAAGTTCAAACCTACTGGTCTCACAGCCAACTGAGAGGTTATGTAAAAAAATATAGTTGAATGCTTGCTAGATGAGAAGTCATAACTTGTCCCCAGAGAATATCTGCAAGAACTTGTTTAGAAACATGAAATTCTATATATAAAAGATGGTAAATGGGCCAAATAAAAGTCCTTGAAATCCCCTTAATAATCAACTCCAAGATTGAAGATAACAGAAAAGAAAGATGGATCAATTTTTTAAATGAGGACTTTATAAATCATCTAAAATGACAACAATGCCCAATTCGATTTTGGCATTTATTAGCTTTATGCCAATTTAAAAACCTGCTCTAAGATGAATTTATATGTCACATCGTCATCCGCAGTGACAGAGAGTTCCCACAGAAGATGCTGTTTGAAGAAGAATTCTTAAGAAATATCAACCTGGGAATAAATAATTCGTGGATCAAGCAATCGCTAGGATAATAAATTATAATACTTACTGGATGTATAGTATTATGTTTCCTGATGCTGACTTAGAAAGTAAACTTATTATGGAAATAGGATGGGGATGCTCTACTAAAATTAAAATCAATTGTTTGGATATTTGAAAAGAGGAATGTATAAATAATTTATAGGTTCTTATTCCCTATCATCTTGATGTATACATGGACAGATAATGGAGCTTTCATTTTACATGACATCTGAACCAAATCCCGATAGAAAGATTCCTTAGGACATTATTGCAATCTTGCGGGTATTTATTTAGCTTTTTTCCCAAATTCAAAACATAATAAAAGGGATCAAAATTTGTTGATTAAAAGTCATAACAAAAATTAATCCTCTATCAAATAGATTGTATCACCATCAAAAGAATAAAGGAAAAATGAAAAACTTTTGTAAGCAAGAAACGCATTTATTAATTGCATAATAAAATTTTAAAGATTTAGTTTCAATTTTATAATTTTTAATACAATCCATTCTCTAAACCCTTTAGGCTTTATTGTTTTTCTTCATTAACTATAATATAAGAATTAGATTACATCAAACTTACGTGTTAGTATCATACAATGGTCCCCTGCTTAGTAGCAGAAATTGTAATGATTCTCAATTTTGTAAACGTTTCACAAGTAAATGAACAAAATGTCTTCGATTCTCTCAAACAGCAATGGTGTAGCAACAGCAGATTGTTAGTCGAGATTGTCTTAAGACTCTCAAGCAGATCTTAGTCGAAGCAGTTTTTCGAATTGGGGGATAGAAAGGAAGCTAATTCACTCACTCCTCAATCTATCCAGCTAACCCTCAAGATATAGCTAATTTATCAATTTCTGTTAAGGCGTAAAGGAAAAAAAAAAGGGACCCTCAAATGGAGGATGTAAAAAGATAAATATCAATTCTATAGATTGTTAAATAGCGTAGAGTACAGTCACATAAATATGAAAACGGATAATTCTCTAAATTGCCAATTTATTGTAATCATAAAGATGAAATTTGTATAGGAAATCAGAAGGAGGATATAAACTAGCAACTGAAATATTGTATGAGATTATGAAATACCTAGTTGGAATGCAAAGTAAATAATAATAATACATATTATAACAACCTAACTCTACAAATAAATTCTGAAATACAGTATATCAGTCGACATGGAAATGAGACATTAAAATTAATGACACTTTTATAGAGAAACTAACTGTTACACCTGAGGCTAAAATTTAATTCATAGTATCCTCTGATCTAAATATATATATAATACATATAGTATTTGATTATTCTCTTTTAGTTAGATGTGATAATAATTAATCCTTATAAATGATATTCACAGAATGGTAATGCTAAAGAAAAAAATTTGAGAATGGGTCTGAGCTTTCCTAACCTCATTTAGAGTGTATAAGATTCCTTTCTACTAATTGGATATAATTTTCAAAATTCTTTATTTTAAATCTTATAACAGGAATGAATAAAATAGGTTAAAATAATGCAAAGGATAGAACTTCTGATTTATTGATTTTTTAATTTATAAACAAAGGTTTCAAATTTCAACAAAAAAAATCAAACTTTTAATAACCCATAAATAGAAACAATTTATCTGGTCATGAACCGCTAAATTTAGAGATCACCATCAAGAGTATTGACTAAATGCTATGTCGATTAAGATCAACTCCAAGGATACTCAGTCATTTCTTCAATATTTCCAAAAGATTTTCATATTCACTTTTATTCTCAGTTGGTGAATATCCCAAACCAAAATTTATAAGTTCCTAACGACTATTATCAATGAATTTGGAGTTTCCAATTCCTCTCTTTCTCTTACATCTAATCTATCTTGCTATTCTTACTATTTCAATCTTCAATTATTTCCCCTTTCTTTCCTTAAAGAACCATCTATATCCAGCTCCATAACCTCCATCTCTGATATCTATGCTCCCTTCTTAAAATATCCAAATATTTGTCTTAAGTTCCAAGATTACCTTTCATAGTTTAATAAGTCCTTAATTGTGTAAATTCCAACTCCTAATTAACAATTCGACATTTTCTTTGAGATTTTATTCTCAGCGTATCCCTCTAATTCCACCTTTATCGGGTTTCATCAGGAGTCCTAAGATATCGATAATAATTAGCCTCACAATAAATCATAGGAAATTTTAATTTTTTTAGTTCTTTCAGATTTCTCAAATAATATTTTAGTGAGTAAAATATTATTGTAGAATTTGCATTTTATAAAGAAGAATAATTAGTAGTAATCCTTATACCAATCTTTAATGATATTTTTGGAGAACACTCACTAAATTTACTTAATCAATTTCCCAAAAACATCCTTCTAATAGTCCCATAATTATTTATCCTGTATTAATTTCTTTTCCATTTAATTCAGCTTTTTC